AGAGTTTCCTATAGTTAGTAGCTGAATTACAGTTGAAAATAAAACAAGAGGTTCAAGCAGAGTACACAAGGCTCCATGATGTGTGACATAAGCTTACAAAGGAAGGAATCAAAAGAAGCACTCTGTGTGATTCTGTGCCAGAATATTTGACTTCATTCTAAAAGCAGGTACAAATGAAGTACAAGTGCAATCACAGACTGGAGTAACAGGGAACTCTCCTGTTCCTGAAGACAGCTAAAAACTCTGGAAGCAATTCTTAAAAATACTTTTTTTTTCAAAGTGCAGTAACTCTGTGGAGTTACAATCCTCATCACCTAAAAGTAAGGCTGGTCTAGTATCTGCCAAAGGCCATTTTGGTTGTGCTTGCCACCTAGTGGATTACTGCTTGTATACACATATGAGCAGGATCTGCCACAAAAACAGACCATCACACTATTAATCACACGAATATTTGTTTATATCCTGCAGAATCTGAGTACTACTCAATGGAGTTTTTTATTTTGTTGGAATGAAAAGCTTGTGAAAATTGAACTACAAATTGCAAACATTTTCAAAACTTTTTCAAATCTGATAGCTGTATTTACAACTGTGACATGACTTGATGACTAGCAAAATAATGGAATTTGAGAGCCAATGAGTAGTCAGTGTTAAGTGGCCATGGACTCAGCTGTAAACTCAAGCCCCATGCTAACATATGCTGGCTGAGGCTCTATGATGAGTACATTTGGTGAACATAACTGAGCTTGTTGAAATTTATACCCATTGTTTCTGCTTCTTCTGTAAAAGTTCGCTGTCATTTTTTTATTTTTCTGGTTTTTATATAGTAGTAACTCGATTTTTTCAACACTACCTCTTCTCTTAGCTGAATTGCCTGGAATAGTTGTCATCTGTTCTGTTGACCTGGACTTGAATTTCTAACTGATTAATAGTTTACCCCTCATTACTGCCCATTAGTCTCACAGAGATCACAAGTGTTGCTCACACCATAACACAATGCAAATATCTGTATTGTATGTTACAAGGGTTCCCTCCACTACTTAAAAAAAAACATTTTTCCACACAAATGTAGTCCTCCTGCCAAAATTTGAGTCCCCTCTTTTAATTTTAAATACAATTGAGCTTTTACTGAATTTTTAAATAATCGCCATATTTCAAAAACATGGACTATTTTACCAGAATTTTCCCCAACACATCCAGCCTACAGGCAGCAGTTAAGGGAAGTTCTCAGCAACAGGGAATTGTTAGGTTTGAATACAACAGGTTTTCTGCTACACTGATGTTTGTATAGTATGGTTTTTTAATCCACGATGATGAAAATGTTGGAAAATTTTAGCCAACAGCTTATGGTATTCACAAATAATTTATGCTCTACGCTTTCAGAATTTCCAATTAAACTTATTAAACTCAAAAATACCTTAATACTTAGTTGTTATCAATACATTCATACAGATGATTTTACTTTTATAGCATTTTTTGATCATTAACCTATTTATAAGTAACTTGATATGCAGATGTTGAATTTGGTAAGATTCCATGGGGTCTGTGCTTAGCCTGGCTGTTACTTATCTGAGGGTATTTCAGTCTTACAGTGCAGTATGTTACCATTATATATCAGAATCCTTGATCTTCCCAATTGCATTCTCATGAAAGGATAGTTTTGGTTTGTTTTTAAACTCCCTCTAACAACTGCTATGAGGAAATTCTGTTATGATCAGAAGGTGAAATACTAATTGTTTATACAGTGAATTATTTCACCTTCTGTTAAATACTATGTTCCTAAGACTACACACTACATAAATTTCATCATAAAGATCACCATAAATAGTTGGAATTAAGACACATGTAAGAAACTTTGTACAACTGTCCTCCTGTTTTCAAAAAGTAATTTACGAATAATTTGATCTTTTTCCAAATGTAGAAAGTTCTATTTTAGTACCATAATAAAAATCTGTACTCAGTAGTATCACAAGCTCAAAAAATCACTTTTATTAATATATAAAAAAGAATAAGGAAAACAGACATTATAATTAAATATTTGCTCTCATCTACAAATAAGTACTTTGGGTAATAAAATAAATTTTTAGGTTCTTGTGGACAGTTAAAAACAGAGGAAGGAATGTTCTGAAATAAAAGCAAAAGAAAGAGGCTTCTGAAATAGAAAATATTTGGCAATATCTCTTAGTCACTCAATAAAATATCCATGTAAACAAGTAATCCATATTTACATTCTCATATGCAATATTCTTGGCTACATGTAGTAAGATGTATACATGTAATTACATTCAACTATGGAATCTAATTTGCACCATTTCTCAGTTCCTTAATGCTGGAAAAAACACTCTTCTGCTTCTGTGCATACTACTGTATGACAGCATGTAAATATAGTATTTTTTTTCCCAGGCAACTTAAAAAGATAGCACTTTCAATGTTAGGTTTTGTAACTTCCTGTTTTTTAATAGGAATCCAAATCTGGAATGTAAGCACTACAATCATGTTCCTGTAAAAACAACCATGTAGATGATTTCCAAACATGCAGAAAATACCCATGAAAAAGCTAGAGTTCTACCTTCCATTTGTATCTCTGAAAATACATTTTCATTTCCTATGTTACTACTATATTTATATAACTCATAAATACAGGTGAGAAAGTTTGCATGAAAGGAAAGTTAATGGAAGGCCACTTTGAGGAGAGGTTTAGGACTATTACTCTCCAAAGAGTAATTCCTATGCATGGTACCTATGCATTTTTATTTAGCATTGAACTAACCTCATTTTTTTGCAAGGATACTTAGAGGCCTTTAAAATCAATTTAGAATTAAGCCAGAAGTCTATAGTATGTTTTGTCAGTTTTAAATTGCACACACCAAGGTTATCAAGGTTTAAGAGCTCACAGCTACTGCATCTCATGGGGACCTTCCAAAGATTAGCAGCCAGAATCCCACAGTTCATGCACATGAGATATCACTGATTATCAATTCCCCAAATGGAATCTTCCAGCTTCTGCTGAGTTTCTACTATCATGTTTGACCTCTAAATTGAAAACCAAAATTATGTTCTGGGAGGCTCCCCTCAAAAGGTTGCTAATCCTTGCTTTTAAGTTAGTTTTATATCACAGAATCACAGAATGGTTGCAATTGGAAGGGACCCAGAAGGATAGAGTCCAGCCCTTAAGGAAATGGCCCATCTGGGGTTTGACCCCACAAGCTTGGTGTTACTTGTACCTTGCACTTCATGAGAATAGAGAAGTAAAGAAATGCCACCATTCTTTTTTCAATAGCATTCCCCTTGAACAGTACATGGAATACAATGGAAACCAGAAAGCATGCTGCTCATTTAACAGCATATAGAACCAACCACCTAAAAGCTGTTCATTTCAGTACATTCAACTCAGTGCTGCAAAAAAGAAGTCATGGATTCCGTGTTTTTTCCAGTACACTGTACAGTTACTTTCTTCCAGAACAATCCCTAGGCAACTGACTACCTTCCATACAAACATATGCTTTTATTATGTGACCTGGTACTATGCAAGGATTGAGTGAGCTTATTTTCACAGGTGGCTGAGACACAGTAACAGGCCAATACATAACAACTGAAAATGATGTTGCCTGTGTGAGTGCAGTATAGAAAGCTGCATAGTAAATTACTGCAAGTGAGCTCGTTTATTCACTTCCTCTGTCATGCATCACTGTTTGATTCATTGCACATAGTGGGACTGGAGGAATGCTCACACATTAGTTTAGCAGTTTAGGTTAGTGTTCCTTCTGTCATACCTGAATTGTACATTAAAAGCAGGTATTTTCTATAGTGGAAAAATACACCAATGTGAGGTTGGTCCCAGTCACCCACAAACATATAAGTGAAACCATAGAACTCTGGGATGTGGTCCTTGAGTACCAAATGGTGCAGCAGAAAAGTTTTTAAAGTATTATATTATGCTAGTTTTCTATACTGCATTCACCAAATAATAAAATATTATTACAAATCAAATACCAGGAACTGAGGCACTTCTTGTCAGAGAAGACCCAAAATAACTCAAATGTCCAAAATAGTTTGTACTAACACACAGTGAACTACAAAAATGGCACATTTGTTGAAGGCTAATGTATTAAAGTGTTTTTAAAAGCTGGAGTAAATAAAAATTTATGTAGTATTTAAAAAATAGGAAATGATTTGCTGTCTGCAACTATCTATATTCCAACATGAACAGTGGTAAATTTGTATTTGTAGTGGGCTCTGCAGCTTTTACAAGAGATAACAGAATGGCTCATCATTTTGGACATGTGCAGTCCAAATAATCTACTATAATTATTCTTCCAGAATAGTAAAAGTATAAATATTGTTTGTATCTGTGAAATTACTGAATGAGCATAATACATTAATACTTCAATTACTAGAAAGAGCTATAAAAGTAAAGTGCCAGTAGGGACTCTTCATTATTTAGAGAAAATTGCATTCTTTAAAACTGTAATTTCAAATTAAAAAGTTATAGAGTTTGTATAGATTGCTTACAGACTAAAGCATGTCTTCATGCCTGTGATAATAATGCTTTTGATGTCAGTGTGGAGACACCCAAACTGGCTTTCAGTTAACAGGCAGCATTTTGCTAAAAGAGCAAAGCTCACCTGTGTCTCAGAGAAAGTATTTCTCACTTGAAGTTAATTTTTTTTTCTGTGAGACTAATAGCAGATTTTTCTGGTTTCTAACCTCCTAATTTCTAGTCTAGTACCATAAATCAACAGAACTGTGCAATCAAATAAAGATACTAAAATACTGCCTTCTGGGATAAAACGAAGACTTAGTTTAAGTGATACATTTTTCTAAGTGTGTTTCTATAGCTTTTAAACTGAGACAAATTCTGCATTTGGATGTCTTAACATTTCTTAGATTACACTAATAATTGCACATAATTCAAAGCCAAATATTATCTGTATACAGTATATTTGGTAGAATTTGTTGAAAGGTCAACAGATACATTCTGATTTAAAAAAAAAAAACAACACCAAAACCCCCCAGAAGTTTCTAAAGGAAATATAACATTTTATGAATATATCTAGCAAACTTTTCTTTTTTTTAATTAAAAATTTTAGAATAAACATTTTTATGAAGCAACTCTGTAAAGTGCAGAATGACCTCAAATCCCATAGAACATAGCAGCCAGTCAGGGGTTAATCAGCTACAGAAATCAGAGCTTTAAAAAAGTGAACATTACCAGGAAATGTATGTGTGACAAACTAAATTATTCTCTATGGTATACTTCATGGCTGATTCATAACTTGCAAAAGCACTCAAGAGCAAAATTTAGTTGGAATTCTTGTTAAATTTTTCATGACTATAAGAGATATAAGCAAGCATTAAATTAAGAAGTGATATGTAAGACAGTTTCCAATGATGTGATATTCCCATTCATGCTCTTGTTTTTTTAAACAAGGCATGGACTAGTCATGGACCAATAAAATAGGCTTGGGACTTATAGGAATTTAAATACATATGCAGAAAACTTGAGTATCTTTCAGCAAGCCATACTGAAAATGAACCCCTAACCTACTTATATATCAATAAAACTACATTAGAATGACCCTCACCAGGGGGAATTTTGAGGTACTTCTATTCTGTGTATTTTCTTTACATAGTTGATCTTTGTCCTGCTTCATCAAATTTGATGTTCTGTTTTCTGGCTGCTTCAGTATTGCTCCTCAGATCAGCTTTATCTGCATTACTACTGTTTGTCATTGTGGATTCTACTTCTGTGCCTTCAGGAGTTGCTCCAATGGGCCTCAGAATTTTAGCATTCTCTGCTGGGGGCCGCTTCCAATGGGGCCTGCTTGCCATCCACAAAATAAGTGAACCAAATATGACAAGCAAAAGACCAAGGCAGTTGACCAAAGTTGCTTCTGGTGGGGATGCACTGTATGCAGGATTTTTCCTTTGAAAGGGGAAAAAGAAAGAAGAGGTCAGAAAAGATTGTTTTAAAGACAATCCTGGTATAAAAACAGCAGTCTCCAGCTAGGTAGGTCTTTTAATACAAACAAAACAAAACAGTGTCCCAGTACTGGATGCTTATTATTCTGGGCAAATGGAAGTGTATTTGCAATGAATAACTTTAATAAACAAGTGGAAACAAATACTTACAATGCAAATATAAGCTTTTCTGTGATTCCCATGAGAGCTGTTGCAATCACTGTTGCAAAGATGGCGAGACCTGAATAAACGTGTATTGGCATGAGAGCTACGCGGAGACGAACCGGAGCAAACGGGAGCAGAAAGACAGCGAAACCCAAGAACAGCTACAACCAAAACAGATTCATAGTTAGGGCTACATGGACAACAAGCTGCACTTCTTGAGCAGAACAAAAATAATCATAAAATTCCATTCATATGTCTTCAGGTAAAAATTTGAAAATAATTGGCATTTCTATTTTTGAATGTGTTTCCTATCAAAACCAAAGCAAAATTCTGGATTAGCACTGGGAAGCAGACATTAAATATTTTATAAATCATCCTACGTAATATCAGTGTCCAAACTTACTAATAGTCCTAAAACTCCAAGCAAACTAAGTACTGGAAACACAACTTTTCAGTGTCACTAATTCACTAATATAGTAAAGGTGTGAGGAGCCACACTTTTACAGTCTCATTGAGCCCTGTTCTCTCTATTGCAGATTTGCACATAAAGGAACACCAGAAGACAGTCTAACCTCCTGACTTGAGTGGATTAAATAATTTTATCTTGTTAGAATTTCAGTTAAATTTAAGTGCCTTTCTTTAGAAGGGGAATGGTCTCTCAATATATTGATCTCATGGCATTTACAGAGTGAAGACATGTATGGGTGGCATCAAGTTGTTCAGGGTCATTAGTCCTCCTATTAGCACTGATTTTATATTGGAAAATAACCCATCATGTCCCATGGTTGCATCCACAGGCTTGCCCAGTCATGCTGAGGTTGCAGCCCTTCTTTAGTTTGTTTTACTGTTACTCACCCCTGCTGCTAAATTAGGCACAGTGCATGAATTTGTATTTCATCCTGCTTTAACTCAATTCTTGTGTTATCTTTCCATAATGGATTAGAGAGCCTGATATTTTCTCCCTGGGAAGCTTTTTAGTACACCATAATCAAATAATCTCTTAATCTTAGATCTGCTAAACAGCTGGAGTTTTTAAAGTCTTGCAATGGAAAATAGCTTTTCCAGCCCACAAATTACTTTTCCAGAATTTCTTTGGGTTTGTTGCTTTTTACTTTTCTACATTTTTGCCCTATTCTTAAATTTATATCACTGTACTTTACTGTATTAACCTATATTTGGCTAATTACAATATAGTTACAATATTGCAGGCAGAGTATTATGTGAGCATACAAGTGACATGCCCCTTCTGGTAAGTGCCAAGTGATTTCTCTGTTAACAAAGATACTGCTTTATGACTATTCTTTATAGTGCTCAGTTGCTTAACAAACATCAGTCTCTGACTGGAGATTTACATCCCAGATTGGAGGAAGGAACACTGAGAATCTTTTGATATGACAGGCAAGGCATTAAGTGCCATTGATCGTGTTTAGAGTAGCAAAATGAAAAGTAGAACTAAGATTTTGGTCACAGTTCTTCATTTAACCATTAGAAAAAATACTGATACTCAGTGATGTGGCAGCACAGACGTCCTTGAAATAGCTGCATTATTAGGACAAACTTAATTTTAACGTTTTTTCTTATTCATTCATATTCATTCTTATTTATTTATTCAGCTGTAGAGAATATACTCAACAATGCTGCAACATGCTTTCTTTTTTTATAAATATTAAAAACACTATTTCAACACTGTTTCCTGTACCTCTTGGCCTGAACAGTGAAGAATAAAGTCCAGAACCCAAATACCTTAGCTGAGGCTTTTCTGTGCTTGATCATAGATAATAAATTCTTTTTTTATTTTTAGTGTTTTGGGAAAAAATATTTGAAGGAACAAAATAAATTTCTATAGTGTAATAACAGTATAGGGAGTTCAGAATGTATATGCAGAAGCATCTGTATGTGTTCTGTAAATTTCAGGGCATGGTTGCTCTTCTTTGCCAAATGCAAAACACTAGGTTAGCTCATTTTACATTACAATAATGCTAATTCTCTGCCAAGAGGAGCAGTTAAAAGCATGCCCACAAACATCTATCAAAGTTCTGCTGATTCAGGAAAACTGCTTAGCCAGTAGTAGCTCATTCAGGTGTCAGATCCTTTACATCTCTACTGCTCCCTGATGCACTTGTTTTGCTGATTAGCAAAGTCTTGAGGCCAAGAAGTGATATTTAAATTTATGATAGCTGAAAAACAAAAACAAAAACAAACAAACAAAAAACCACCCAAACAAACAAACAAACAAAAAACCAAAAAACCCCACCCGTTACTTCATTTGAGACTTCCTTAATAAATGCTCTAACTGTATTTAAATATGCTGCCAACAAACCAAGTAACTTGCTGTAAGTTCAGGAGTTAATAGGGCTTAGAAACACACTACACTGTAACTGTATTGTAGGTTAATGGCCATTTTGCCAGCAAATAAACAAAATAGGCTTAAAAATGCATTTTTCTTCAAAGTCAGTGATCCAGTATTTGTACATTTACATAATAATTTGCCAAATCAGAGTGTAAAATGGCTATCCCAGTAGTTATGATGCCTATTTTGCCTGAATTACTAAAAACATTCTTCAAATTTACAACCTGTTTATAAACACAGTTAGATTCTGACCTGGAGAGAATAAAATATAACAGCAGTCAGCCCAATCCAGCTGTGCAGACTGTACATGTTAGGAATGTTCTTGGCATTGTGGAAATCAAACACAGCTACCATAGAAACGATTGCAAGAATCATAGCTATAGTATTTAATCCAGCATGTATGAACTTCATTAGGAGTTTGCTGCACTTCCAGGTCCAGGGCAATCTGTACACAATAATAGCTGAAGAAAGAAGAGAAACAAGATTTTAGGCCTTTTAGAATAATTTCTTTCAGATGTTAATAATTATGCATAATTAACATAGGTACATTGTAAATTACACCAAAATCCAACCTTAAGTCTTCTAAAGTCTATTAAAAAGTTTTTTCTCATACACTTAGCATAGCATACTCTGAAAATACAACTGAGGCTTAAATATAGCTTCTTAGGGATTTCTTATCAATTATAAAAAATCCCACAAACTTAAGTGTGTTTCAAAAAAAAAAACAACCCAGTAAATAACTTGGTGTCATCTTTTCCTCAGTCATTAATTTGATTTAACAGGGATTTGGCATAGTATTTTGATTTTTCTGCTACTAGTCAGATTGGAGCAATATAGCCTGATTTTTATATTGAGAAGATCGCTTGTTGAGAAAGCATGTAGGATTATTTTATAATATTTATTCTCTTTGCAACTTTGGATAATGCTATTCTCTAATTGCATAGATACTGATATGACTGTCTATTACATTGATATCAATAAGACTGCTTTGAATGGGAAAATGCTCTTCAGCGTAAGGGAATCATAATCTGACTTTAGAGACAAAAGTATTTAACAAATACAAGTTGGCCTTCTTGGCCACCTGGGCACACACACTGGCTCATGTTCAGCCAGCTGGCAATAATATCCTGCATTAGACTATTATTAACCAACTTAGTACTAATGATAATGACTTCTAATTTTGTAAATCAGATGTGTCAAAAGGCCCCAAAACAAATTTCAACATCCCATGAGGATATTCCTAATAAATTCTTCTTACCATATGTCCCAGAGTATTGTCAATAATTTATTCATGGTGCAGCAGAGTACTGGACTCTGTATGAAGAAAACTTAATGAGCATAGGTCCTCATCTCAGTTTTTAGTCTTTGATCTCAGAGGGCCAAGTCTGGGCTAAAATTTTTATATAATATTTTTTTGTTGTCATCTAGCTGATTTAACTTCCAAAAGCACTATCAAACTCCCCAGTCACTTGTTCACATAGTCTCAGATCTCTGTTTGGGCCTTGAATTTTCAAAGTTGTTTCCCATAAACATTACAATAGAAAACCAAGGAATAACTGACTAATGGTTTGGCCAGTTGATAACATTCATTATCATGTTACAGCCCAGGCCATAGACATGGTATTATAGTTTGGTTTAATCATCTTTCTGTGAGGGCTTTGTGTGAACTTACACATTGCAATTTCAGCAATTAATTTGTTAATCACTGTGAAAAGACACGGTTTTATTTCCCCATCACCCCTTCCGTGTGCTTCTCCCTGCCTTTCTCATAACTGGTGCTTTTCTAATCTGCAGGAGGAAAGAAGACAGTCTGGGGAGAGAAGGAAGATTCACCTTTCAGTGAGTACAAGCTCTTAAAAACTTACTCAGATATGATGTGTAATTTCATGTCAAAATTAAACAGCCCAGGTTAAAACATCCAATTAGAATGTTTGCTGGTGACATGGTAAAGCAGCCTCATGAAGAGCCTTCTCAAGGCAGAACATTTCTAGTACTGTTAAGAAATTTGACAGTCTAGGCACCCTGGACTGAGCTTTTTGACTCAGACCTTACTACTGTTTTGAACTATGATTTTAAAACACATCACACAGAGCAGAGTTACCTTGCAATATTTTTATATGACATGGGACATCTGTCCTTTTACAAATGCACAGGGCAAAATTCTAGAGTTATTGACCAACAATACAACATTTCCATCCTTTGTATAGACTAATAAACTCAAGAAACAATTGGTTTAATTATTATTTTAAATTCTCTACTCAAATTTAACCAAGTTTTTTTTAGCTACACCTTCCTTCTTTCAACTAATCTTTCTTACATGTGTCCAAAGAGTTATCTGATTTCTCACTCTCATCCAAATTGCTTTGAATTCAGTGGCAGACTTCCATCAGCCAAATTTGAATCAGATTCACAGTGTTATCTTATCTGTTGGTATTTCATCTGATTTACTACAATATCCCTTCAGTCTCCAACTTTGCTTTTCCTATTATGTGATAGGAGTCCTCCCTAAATTATGCTGTATTATTAGTGAATTCCTTGTATGCGTGTGGTTTCTTAGCTGTGGTAAACTTCCATTTACTTTATGTATATCCTTACCAAAACAGGGTGTGGGGCAACACCCTTTCTCTGTCACACAGGAAAAAAACTGAGTTTCAGAGGAAAAAAAATAGAAAACACATGGGAAAAAGCTGCAGAAAGCTTCTCCCTATTTTCTTCAAAAGTTCTATGCTTATTTATAAAAAAAAAATAGGTTGAGCACATTAAGTAGTATAGATCTTAGTGAAGTCAACAGGTGGTTTTCATTGCTTATTTATAGCCTGAAATTACACTTCCTGTTGAGCAATATTATGTAAAACAACTTCAAAATATGGTTTATTGCTCAATACTGGTTTGCAGCTTGAAGTCATAAGAAGGCTGAGAACAGTCCCACTCCCACTCCAAACCAAAAATTTACAGTGTATGTTCAAATCATAACCTTCTCTTCATAGCCAGAACAAGACAGCCTTTGGCATCTTCCAGCCTTTTGACTGGCTGGAAGTGTAATGGGAAAATGTTAGTCCACGACTGAACTCTATGAAATCCAAAGTCCATACACTCGAAAAGAAATTAAAAATTAAAAAAAAAAAAGAAAAAGAAAAAAGAAGAAGCAACCCTGTATCTCAAAGATTATATGTTATTTAAGCAACAGAATAAAGGATTCATTAAAGAGATATGCTTCACAAAACAATTCATCCTAAGTCTAGCCTGAAGAAAACTGCATTTTAATAATGCTTGTGGTGCTACATTTTTTCTGGCAAAACCCTGTTCCTGGATCAAGCTTCTGTGGTACTGAACTTTCCTTTCTCTTCTTGGGACATGGAAGAGAGCCAGAAGAGAAACTTTCCTAGGGCAACATTTCTGGCATTTCGATTTTCAACTTGCATAAATTCCAGCTGCCTAGGAAAAACACACCTCGCAGGCATTACTCAAAGTACACGGCAATCCCCGGGCCAGGATAAACAAGTGCTTGCAGAAAAAAAACCCAAAACAACCCAAAACAACCCAAACCCCATATGTAGCAATTTTGGCTTATTACAAGGGACTCTTTGTCCCTTCCCGGGAGTGCTGGCTTCCCTGAACTGCGGAGCGACTGCTGCGCTCCCGCCGTGACCGCTCCCGGCCGCGGGCTGTCCCGGCGGCTCCGCCCTGAGCCTCCCGCGCCGCGCAGCCCCGGCCGCGCCACCCCGGCCCCAGGCAGGCCCGGCTCCCCCGCAGCTCCGCGCCGACCGCACCGCGGCGACCCGGCCCCCGACGCACCGATGCCCTGGATGAAGACGAAGCCCGTGATGATGAGGACGGGGTGCCAGTTGAATTCCGCCGGGCTGCCGTCCCAGCTCAGCCCCTCGCGGTAGTGGAAGACCCAGACGAGGGAGAGGATGACCGACACGAAGCCGACCAGCAGCGAAGAGGCCAGGAGCGCCAGGAATCGCCCGTAGTCCTCCATCTTTCGAGCCCCGTGCGCGGCAGCGAGCGCCGCGAAGGAGGGGCGGGCCGGCGGCCGGGTGGGGTCGGGCTCGGGCTCGGCGGGCACGGGAGGGGACGGGACGGGACGGAACGGGATGGACGCGGCAGGGGCGGGAGCAGGGCGGCCCTCCGCGATCCTCCGCGCCCCTCCACCCTGCCTTCTGCGAGCGTCCCGTCGCACTAACAACTCCGCCTTAGAAAATAATTTTCTGTGTCAGCCTTTGCCCTGCCATGGTGATGGCTCGACTGCGCTCCCCCCGGCAGCCAAGGAAGGGAGCGGGTGGTCACGGGTTTTGTGCCGAGAGGCTGTTGTGGAGGTTGGGGAGTTCACAGACTCGCCAGAAAGATAAGCCAGCAAAGTCATAAGCACTTACAGATAAAATAGGAGTGCTGTTATGAAGAAGACACAGCGCGCGCAGAAAATGCAGAGGAGGAGAAGCGCACTTAAAGACACTGATGTACTTACCTGGAGCACAGTCTTGCCATCATGATCGCCCCCTTCTCACTGGATCCATTGAGTGCTCAAAATACAGTACAGATACTAACCAGTTACATATGTGGAGTCTGGCCTAAGTATGCAGGAGGATGTGGACATTGTTCTGTTGAATAGCACAAATATATCAAATATCCACTAGCAAAGAAGGGGAATGCATAAAACTTAGACAATTCCAATAGGTATGGAAAGGCCCATTGTAGGGAAGTTAGAGAGGAAATCAGAAGGGAAAAAACCCAGAATTGCAAAAGAGACAACAGACCTGCCAAAAATATAACATGATAGATTAGACCAGCTTGGTCAAGTCACATAGTCAGCAGTTACCTTTTGTTTTGGTGTAGAACATTCAGCTGGCTCTGAAGCCTGTCAAATGTGGTAGGAGGATATGCCCAAACATATATTCAACACTAATGTTCTGGTATTTGATTAGCTTACTTTTAAGATATGTATAGTGTTGAACTACATATGAATTAAAAGTTTGTTAATTGATTGAGAGAAAAAAAATACTATGTACTCTGGCTAGCATTTGATCTCTTTGGTATCTCACACTTAAACTGAGGCCTAAAAAATGAAAGGAAATGGTTTTATGAAACTTAAAATAGTTTTGGTAGAATACTGCCAATTCAAACACCATACTTACTGAAGTGCTGGAAATATCTACATAGAGACATGAAGACCAAGTCAGATTGGAGTGGAATGCAAATATATTTCTTCATTATAGTCTTTAATCCCCTAAAAATACACCCTGACGTTTTAAAGAAAAGCTTGGCTTGAGCAGCACTTGTATAAAGTTATTTAGCTTTAGTTTGCATGGATTTGGTGTGACCTGCCCTCAGGATTTAACTGGTTACTCATTCTACTCACAATGGCAAGTAGGACACTTGTATTGTTAAATTTCACAAGTCACAGCATCTAAGAGAAGATCCAAGCCCTAAATCTTCTGATGAATGCACTCATGCATATTCTTGCCATATTGTCATTAGCTTATGAGGCACACAGGTCATCTTAATATTATGTTCAGAAAAATTTTACTTTTGTCTCTTTAAAGCATAGAAACTGACATAAATATTTATTTTAATTTGCCTCCTATGAACCTAAATCTCCCAATTGCAAAATGCTTCCAGTTCCCACTGATTTCAACAAGCTTTGATTACATCCAGTATCCCAACAGTTCCATTTAGGAATCTTCTACTCAAGCATATTTTACTTAAGCTAAAGCTATATCTCTCAGAAGACTTTAATGAATTCCTATAGCTCAAACTGGTTTACCCCGTTAAAGCAGCAAATAACAAGATCAGACACAAAATTCCATTGAGCTGAACGTGAAGCCTAGTTTTAACAAGTAATGATGAACAATTTAAAAAAAAATTATAATTGAAGAAATTCTAAGGCTTAGAGATTGTTAAATAAACCAAACCAGAACAAAGCGCAAAATAGTTTGTTAGACAAAGTGAAATGTTCTTTATGGAACATCTGTAATGCAGAAGAGATTTCAGGCAGCACCATTAGTAACTCTGGCCGGTATTTCTCTGCATTTTCTGTTCTTCCACCTCTTCTTGCCTGCCTGGTGCAAATATCGGATTGGTGCAGAATCAGAAGCAATCCTTAGCACAGCTACGATGTCTGAGTGGATTTCATGCTTATTTGGGGTGGCACTCAACACGATACAGTTGACTGCTGAGGGCTGACTGACGCACTTGATAATCTCTTTGGAAAATAGCCCCACACATAAAAATGAAACTATCCTGTATGGCGCTTTCAAGTCTCCTTGCAAGGATGCAATAAACACCTGGTTTTGTTGATCATTACTGTGGATAGGTTCTACAGCAGTTCATAAACTCTACCCTTTTCCAGAGCTTCCTAGGGACAATGATATCTTTCCAGTACATTACCAACTCTGTCAATGTGTATTGCCTGTTAGCAGTTCTGTTGGGACATGATCTAACATGCATTTCTTTCTTTGGGCTGCTGCATTGTCAGATGTAGGATAACTGTGACTTCAGACCTGGAAAAACTTCAAAGTAGACAGACAACAAAAGACCTACGAAGCAGACAAAGATTCACAGATTATTTTGAAGAGGTAGCAATGGATTCCTGCCAGTATTACACGTCTGGTACTTGGCAACTGCTGGCATCATTGCTATACCATTCATACATTTTGAGAGCAGCAGCCTAAACATAAGTGTACATAAATGCTTATCTAAGCAACACACCATGTCACCATAGGCCATTATTTTGTGCTTCTGATGTAAAATTTTAATACAGGAAGTGTTTCTAATTTCAAGTGACCAATAACTGACTTCTCAGAGCTGTACTTAGAATAAGATTATTCTTTTACCAGCTACAACTTTATCTTTTTTTTCCATGCTGGACAAGTCATTTAAGATCTAAGCCTTAGACCTGGATATTCCAGATAAGTTAACAGTATCCCTTAAAGCATTTGGATGAGTTTTTCAGAAACCTGGTGGCTGTTCATTTTATAAACAAACAAAAGTGCTGAGATTGTCCAGTCAGTTTTGTTCTGGCAATTAATTTAACTGACTGTTGTGGAAGCTTTAGAAATACCGCTGTAGAAGTTATCTTACCAGGAGTAATCCAGACAAAGGAGTTCAAGTAATCAGTGTTTGAATGGCACAAACAAACCAGGATGATCCTTTTACTCTTTTTGGTACTGAGTTCCATGCCTAAGCAACAGAACCATTTGACCTTTGCTATTGAGAACATCAATAGCAAAGGTCAAATTAATTTTAATTTGACTTTGCAAATTGTGACTATGGAGCAAGACTCTTCCAATAAATGATGTTTACTTATTCTCCACCCTAGAAAGAGCTTTTTCTGAGTTAAAATAAGACACATAGGGCACCTTTTGTCCAGAATGTTATCCTGGTCATAGGCCAGTCATTGTTACCTGTGCAGTGAAACTTTTTTTGGTCTTCAATCTATAAACATTTTGCTTCTCTGAGTTGTAGGATATTTTTCTAGTAATTATTTTGTATAAGCTTTTTGAAGTTGTGAAACTGTGGGACAATAGTTGGAATTGTCAAAGCAAGATTGTAAAGTTTTACTGCTTTCAGTTTTTATTTGCGTTGTGCTTTCTTATTTTCTTCCCTACCACTCACCAGCCTTACCAGTGACTATGTGCTCAAGTGACAAGAGAAAGGCAGGATGTGCGCTCTTTGTACCCTCAAAGCAAATCTTATCAAGAGAAGTCACTCCTTCCTATCTTTTAAATTTCTAGGCTGGGAAATTCCACCCGAGTCTCTAAACAGCTATATTTATCAAATAAAGGGCTAGCATTTTTGGGATCCCATTTCTGCTTCTCTGTCCTCTCTCCAGTCATTGAGATGTTATGGTGAAGTAGAAAATCAAAAGTGATTCTGTTGAAGTAGAAATGCTGGAAGTATGCTGCTTTGTCCACAAAACAAAATGTTCCTAAGACAGCCATAAAATCAAGCCAGCTTTTAGGCAGTACAAAAAATAGGCAGTGGCATTTTTAGAAGTACCTCTGTGGAAGTTGTAGTAGTTGAAGTTGTAGTTGTAGAAGCTATAATGGCCCCGTTACAAAGGGCTAAAATAGGAGGAGCGTGGGGTCAACATTCAGGAGTTTCCTAGATTTCCATTGCCCCAGAGCATGGAAATGTGTGCAGCTGTGCTGCAAATGCATGTTAGAGGTGGGCAACATCCAAAGTTGAGACTAACTGCAGATACAGAAGAAAATAGGGAAAATTGCCAATGTATGAGTCTGAATTTGGAACATCCAAGTAAACACGTTAACAGAATAATTTTCCTGCCTGTCTTCTGGCAAGCAGCTGTTACTGGGGACTGTCTGGAGAGCCTGCAAGCCTATCATGTGGAATGCATTGCTTCTCCTGCAGCATCTCAAGAAAGCCAGAGTTCTTGAGTCACTTTGTGGAATAATTCCAGTGAATTTTAGCTTTCCCTCCCATGTTTCCTTTTTTCTTCCTGAGAAGAATGTGCCCTTACTCTTCCCTAAAAATACCATGTTCTCAACAACACTATTCCTTCTCCACTCAGGCAGGAATAAGGCATTTGTACTCTCAGTTTACTAAATGAGTTACTAAGCTATACCAAGTGGTTCTTAGCAATCACATTATTGTAACTCTTCACTCTGCTAGGATGCTTAGTTCCTTTTATTAAAAAAAAATCAATCCTAAAAAAAAAGCAATCTATTTTTGCAGTTGTTAATATTTTATTAGCCAAATCAAGCACTTTGACTACTTTATTAAATCTATAAATATTTCAATGCACTGACAAAGAATTATTTTCTATATTATTTCTAATTCTGTCTATATTCTATAAGAATACAATCACCTGAAGATTTTCGTCATCGTTTTGTAATTTCAGTAAAGCAGAAATAAATACCATAGCTGTAGAAATGCCAAGTCTAGCAACCAGAGAGCTTCAAGTGATCCTCTCTGAATTGTTGATACAATTCAGTTATTATTGGTGAGTCATTGCTGCAGACATGTCAGATCAAGTCCAGAAAAAATAAACTCTTTAAAGGTTTTGCAGTGTATTAACACTTGTCAGTTAGAAAAGAACTCAGTTGCTGTTCTATATATTCTTTTGTGGTTCAGTCTTAGAAAACCAGTTTTACTACTTATCCTTTTTTGCACTTACATTTAAGATTTGTTCATTCTGGCAACAGCAGAAAGTTTGTTTCAACTTTGGTGAAATCCAACATGAATTCACCA